CCCCAGCTACTCTGGCTATATTATATCATGAGGCAGGCTTTAGTAAGGCCAGTATATGCTGATGTATCTGAGACAGGCTGAATAACCTCCCAGTTGGATGATAAGACTCCTGCCTATGAAGGTCAGACATGGCTATATATGCTATTGAATTTTAACTAGGGTTGCTATGGAAACTAGCATGTTTTGAGATCTGAACTCTGCAGCTATGGTCTGTGTAGGATGATTGTATAAAAGAGCCTTAGGCTACAGTAAATTTAATAAAAATGTGATTATTCTGAATGAAACCCCCTATATACTGTATATTGTTCACTCACAGAGATTGTATGTGAAATACAAAAGGAAACAAAATCTCCAGTTACTGTAATCAGTATTGTAGCTCTGATTTCTGTGCTTGTTTAAATATTCACCCAAGCTACAAATTAAATTACATTTTCGCCTTTTAATCCAAGTTAAGTAGTTAAAGCAATATCTAAAAAATAATGCAGAATTATGAAAGTTTGAAGAAGTACAGTTTGAAAGCAGTCAAATAAATGCAAAGTTGAAGAGTTATACAACCAACTTGCAAGATTTTAATTAATTCACCCTGTGGTATAATTACAGACAGAATCATTCAAGTGTGACTGTATCAAGGTGAAAATTTACACTTTGCAACATTTCACATTAAGGCATATTTAACTGATTCCAAATCAGGAAAGAAATATGTTATATAAGAACTGCATCATCACAGATAATATAGATTTATTATATTTTACATATCATGTATTATTTAAATGTCTGCATAATTTTAAAATGTTAGATATAAAATAAACAGCATATTATGCAAGGTCTTCATGTTTGCTGTGAGACAGTAAATAAAGCCACTTTCCTTCTTCACTTCTGACGATATTCTGAGTCTCTTATGTATGTAGCTGGACAAAAATATAGAAACACCTCTGAATATAATGTAGTCCAGTGCAACACCACCTTCAGCCATGACCTCAATAATAAACACAGAATTGAATTTATACATTTATGACAATTTCACCAAAAACTGAAACATTTTGAGCTTCATAAACACAGATATTAAGGTGGTAGGTGTACCTAATAAAGTGGCCGGTGAGTGTATATTGCTGTTCACATTAAGATGTCTCACTACACATATGGCATGTATAGTATCACTTAAATGCTGAATGCATTCAGCCTCCTCCCTGCAGAAGGTCTCTCGTACTATGTGTGCACCGCCCGGGGTTTGCTCAGTGACAATTGAAAACATGATAATTAAATAACACGTTTACCCTCTGTGTAGTCAGATATACATATTAAGTGGGAACACCGCGTATAGGCTACAGCCTGACTTCAGATCAGATTATTAACATGCAGAGAATTATCACTAAATAATGTGTTGTTCAACAAAACTGTGTCAAGTACATTATGAATTGATATTCCTTCCTGAGCCTGCTTGCAAACATTTTCCCAGTCCTGCAGTATCTAGATGCCAAGGTAGAGTGAGCTTCAAAGCAAACTTTGAAATGGCATTTTGTACATTTGAGTACATTGTGTGGTTGAAATATGATTGATTTTGTGGTGATATTTTAGTATGGAAATGTGGCACAGCTCGATGGAACACTCGTGCCATTATGTTGCAGGGTATTGTTTTTCATTTAAAAGAATCACTAATATGTATAAAATAGCTTCTTTCAGTCCATTCTGTTTGATGATGATGCAAAGGTGGTATGAAAAGTAGCCACCAAGACATGTTAGACATTACTGGGTTTCAGTTTAGGTAGGTGGACGGTAATCCACCGCTGCTGTAAAATCTTTGCAGATATTAGGTGTTGTCCAGCTAAGGAAATTATTTGATTGCATGCAACATATTTGTGCAACTTCCATATTTTTTGTCAGTTGGCACCTACATGTACATTCCCTCACTTCTATTTAACAGCTATTCCAGCAGCTGGATACAAGGTGCAGCAAGAGTAAACCGAAACAGTAAAGTGCACTGCAAAACCAAAACATTAATATGAAAGACAGTAAAACATTCATTGCGTAGATGTGAAGGGACCTGTAGAGGTGTGTGATAATTCTTTGTTGGCTTGTCACTACAGATGCCCGTTTTCACATTGCAGATACTGTAGCTGTTTGATCTATTAATATAAGATATGGATTAGAGTAGGATTGACCAAAGGTTCTAAATACTTCTTCCAATTCTAATAAACACATTACAGTAGTGATCCTTCCCTGATGTATCCTTCGACGTTGCTGGCTTGAACTAAAGGCGTGAGGCGGGTAAAGACTGACACAAACAGAATGTCATAACAGCAGCCAGAGAAACAGCCGAGCTCAGTGTATTGCTCTGCCTGGGATGGCATACTATATACAAGGTAGACCACATAACGGGGGTGGGGGTTAGAAAAGCCACCTTTACTCTGATGCACAGTCTAGCTGTTTGTGTGTCATTTATAAAGGTTACCTTCTGCTTCTCTGTCTGTCACATACGGTGCACTCATCCGCATGTCCATGCATAAGATTTCACCAGAAGATAAAATAGATTTTTTTTAATAACAAACACAGACAGTGAAGCAATATGAATCCCATCTGAAACTTTGATCTAGTTTTAGGCATCTGGGCTAGGCATATGGAAATAACTGTGCCGTATAACAGTGGGTCTTTTGTGACCTTCACACACATGTGCATATATGTGTGTGTGTATGTGTGGCCTTGTTTTTCTATACTATCATCGTGGGGACCGGAGGCTGCTCCCCATGATGTAGTTTGTCAAATTTTATGAAAACAGTTAGCGCAAGTGTCAGCTTTGGTTAAGGTTAGGGTAAGTCTCCTGGAAATGAACATAAGTCTATGTAGGGACCTGGTAAGTGACA